CGCTCTTCATTAGAGTAACAAAATGTGACTACCAGTACCAGATAGCAAAAGAATGTATATCGTGGCTCTGATAAACCAGCTCTGACAGCTTGTAACATAACAAGTCATAATGACAGTCTGGGTAAAAACACAATACATTTAAGACACCTCCAGTAGCAAAGTAATAATTTAGAGAGGTACAGATTCCTTACTTCTCTCAGGAAAAATGAAATGTATCACATTCAATTGAACGGTTTTGCAAATCAAAATAACCACCCCACCAGAGCGAATACACCTGACAAGCACAATGGGCTATATCTGGGGTCTGAAGGCAGTAGTATAGCTAGGTTTCACAGGAACTTCTGCATCTGGAGCTAGGAGCTCCCAGCAGTACCAGCTCCAAGGTGAGCTAGCACCAAGCAGTACTACTGGGTACAGTTAAAAGCTCAACATCGCTCAAAGGTATCCCGCTGCCTAGTAAAAGATTCAAACCAGAGCCTGGATTCAGATAGAGCAATTCATTACCCCCTTCTCCTTGTCCCTTTCATCTGTTCAAACTCTGACTAGCATAAAAGTGAAAAACCCAGGAAAGGAAATGTGGCTGTCCCCCAGCACTTAAAAAAACCCCCACAAACCACTGCCTGCTTATCTTGGGGAGGTTAAAGGGCCTGGGTCCAAAGCTTGCTGAAGTCCATGAGAATCTTTTTTATTCTGTAATACTGTGTGCCAATGGCTTCTCATCCCACCACTTCCCCCATGCAAGGACATAAAGAGGAGGTGATGAAGACAACATGAAATACAGAAGGACTTCAAGCACTTGCAGACAGCACCAGCTGTTAAGTCGTAGTTGCAGAACATGTGGAGTGCACTTCCACACATGCAGTGCCCAATGCATAGATAATAAAAAAACCAAACCCCAAACAACAACAAAAAAAGACCCTCTTCAAAAGAGTCCCTCATCTGGAAACAGCCACGATGCAGTAAACAAATCAGGTAAATTAAGGATCTCAGCCTTCTCTCTTTGTTTTTTTGCTGTTTTTACTGACTGGCCTTCTTCAGCTCAATGTTCTGCATATGGAAAAAAATCTTTAAGTCTGATTAAAAAAAATCAAACTGTTTTATGTTCTGTGAATTAAGCATGCATAGGCAACATCCTGCACTACTGCAAGAAAAAAACAAACATGCTAATGCAATACTATGCAAAGAGAAACCCTAAGACATTTTAATTGTCACTGCAGCTCTTTTGATAACTGATTATAGTTGTCTTTTGCATTGAATGGAGTTGTGTAGGATGAAAAATACAATTATAAACACAAAAAAATAGTAGAAAATCTATTGTGAACAGAGAGATGCATTTTAAAATATTGAAGTGACAATTATTTATAAGCATGCCAACTGCAAAACCCACTGCTCTTGAACTCTGACATTCATTCTCAGTATATGCAATCTCTTTCTGTATGGATTTAAATCTTCATACCCTCTGAGAGTTCTGTAGACAATTTATTAAAATTTGAAAATACCCTTTAAAATCTTCAGAAGTATAGTTTTCAGCAAAGGAAGCCTGCTTCCTCCTTCTTCAAATTTCATTTTCCACCATTTCTATTCTATGCAGAGGGGTACTCTATTGTAGACAGAGAGAAAATTATTTCTTTCTAGTTGGAGGATTAGCTAGAGGTAGTCCACCTTAAAGGGAGAATGTAGAGCTAGTAAACTTTGCAATACATTCATTCATAATGAATGGAGTTGTGGTCTCTAATGGGTGAATTGCTCAAGACCTGAGCTAATCTGCTGAAAATGTACAAACATTCTCTGTCAATAGCATTGACTAAGGTTATTGTTCACCAAGGAGTATAAAACCTAAGTCAGTCCTATAAGGAACTGGGCACAAACCTGCTTCTTGGCTCTGGGCCTTGGTTTCTTCAGCGTTTTGCTTCTCCTCAGTGCTGTCACCACCTATTGAGGAGAACATAAAAATTATTTATGATACATCACTTTATTGGTAACAGCAGCAGCCATAGTAATTGTAACTGGTTCAGCACATACTGCTAATTTACAGCAAGGCATCATGGTAGAAGAAAAAAGATATAAAGGTAAGTTGAAAAAAAACAACATGCAGATGTAACCGGTTACATTTAAAACAGTCAAATTTCCACATCTCAAGCTGAGGCAGGAAGGGTAGATTAAAGATTTTATCTTAACAGGCACACTGGAAATATCTGAGTACCAAATAGGGATATGATTCCCTAAACATCATCTGCAATAGGTGAAATTATTGCTTGATTTTAGTTTCTGTATTTTATAGAGATTTTTTTCTAGGATTACCTTCCTCCAGTAATATTTCCACAAGATCACTGGAGTGGCTGTGTTTCTGACTTCCAGAACCTACTTTAATGCCCACGGAAGGAAAGAAGAGGAGGGCTAGAATTGCCTGAATTTTATTTTAAAGCCAAAGACAAAACCACACATTGCATAAAGTATACAAACGTATCACAAATGACTGCAATGATCACAGCAAAATAAACCAAAGTAAGATTGCTAGAACTGAATGCATTTCCCCCTTTTCACATTCCCATCCAATCCCAGTTTTCCTCACTACTTTGCATTCACATGTGTTACCCACTTCCTTCCCTCCAGCTCCCTTTGTGAAGGCTGGTACCAAATAGCAAATTACCACTGAGAAAAGTAATTCCCTGGGGAACATCTACGGACACGACATCAACCTCTCTTAACCTTTGCTTGGCCCAATTAGAAACATATCATGAAGTCTGTATGTTCAAGGATAGAGAAGGCTTCATAATAATACTGGAGGCTGTGGTGCAGCATTCTGGATCAGATGTGATGGCTACACTCCCCCTTTTGCAGCACGGTGAGACAGATGACAAGAACAGCTGAGTACCAGCCTTAATGAGGCATTTGAAAAACTGACTGCTGAGCATATATACACTGGGAGAAAGGAAATTCACTCCTAGGCCTGTAAATGGCTTGATAATGATACACATATTTTTTGCTGTGATCTTTTCTGGCTCCTGTTTTTTTCTGATTACAGCTTCTCTAAGCAGCACAGTTAAAGTTCCTCGTGCCGTCACCTTGATTTTACTTAACACATGGAGGCCGTTGAAGAGAACAGCAGTAGCCCAAATGCAATTAGATGGATGGAAGAAAAACAGTGAAAGTGTGTGTTTTTCAGAAGGAAATGTACATCTGGTGGCATGCTGCATTCAGCTAATATTTAAAGGCTAAAGAGATGTGATGCTCTCCCACTTTCCAGCAGGCAATACATCCTGGCATCCAGCAGATGGGACTAGCGGAGAAGTATTCCCAGGCTGACCCTGCACAGAGCTGCTCTCAGGAGGAGAGGAGATGGAGATGGAGTTTGACACTCCACCTGAAAGGGGAGAGGTGGGCACAGAGTGGCTGATGGCCATCAGTGGGGACTTGGGCTCCCACCTGCTTGGTAACTCTTGGTACTCATCTTTACCAGCCTTAACGGACGACTAGCTATTGTGATTTCTTAGCACATTAGTAAGCTCTAGCTTGCTAAAAATTGCATTACACGGATGACCAAAATAGTTTGATAAAACCAGCTGAGTTTTTTCCCTTCCCAGGTTGAAATCACAAAGTATTCTTTTCAAATTAGGATTCTGCCTCTCCACACACAATAGGAGAACTGCATGCGAAACAGGGAGTCAGCTGTACTAGAAGATAAACTTTTCTTTGCAAGCTTTGCAGCAAGCAATTAATAAGGTAAAAAATCCTTTGTTTTTCAAAGGGATAAAGTCATCTAGCTGAGGAACTGCAGAAAGGAACAGTGCATTCAAGAAAATACATTCAACAGTGCAGTGACACTTGAAGTCTTTCCCATTCAGTTAGATCAAAAGAGAATATTGCGTCACTGCAGAACAAGTGATGCCAGAGCATAAAGGATTTCCTTATGGCCAAGCGCAACAGGTTCCATTTTACATAGAAAGACTTTACATTCAGAAAAAGTAAGTCAGGCATAAATGGTAACTACCTATATATCACTGAAAATAATTTCACCTTACTGCATTCACAATGTAAAACTGCGCTTCCAGACAATACTTATTTGGCTAAAACCAGGTATTTCAAGGATTCATCTACATTTATTGCCAAAGGACTACATCTCTTAATAAAAAGTCTCTTACTCAGAGCAAATTTAAACTACCAAAGAAAGTTTCAATGATTGTCTGGTTCATCAGATTATCAGATAAAGCACATATTCATCAGTTTATTTTGCCAACCCTAAGTCTGTTATTTCACTGGACATTTAAAACTGGTATAAGAGAATGATAATTACAGTGGATTCTCAACATGTTTTGGATATTGGATTCTTAACATGTTTTCCATCTAACACCTCCTTTTATTCCTATAGAAAGAAAAATGCAAAAGACTAAGCAGATGTTTCACCTCTTGTAGTCTGCTTCAGTCCAACAGACTTACTGGATCATGACACGAAAATGTATCTTGATCAGCATTTTGAAAGTACCTTTTCTCTACGGACAAGTGATCCTCAAATAAATGACTTGCAGAAGAAAGAGTTAAGCTCTGCTTGGCCTGGAGAATCTCTTCCTCTCAGGAGAAATGGAGGAAGTGGAATATGAATACACTAATAAAAAAGCAAACTACAGGGTGGAGAAGTGACTAATCCCAACGTGTCTGGCAAACAGTTTTTTCCATTAAAAAAAAAATCTTTCTAATAACCCTCTCACCAAGTGTCTTCTACTGATGAAGAGTCTTTCTGTAATTATTGCTCTCCACTGGAGCTGGGTGCATGGCAAATAGAAAGCCTTTAAGCAGCACATGCTCAAGGCAAAAAGATGGAAATATATTTTACTAGAGTAGCAAGCCAGTTTTTCACCATATTTTTATTCACCCCTGGCTCTCCTTTTCTCCTGGCAGAAAAGCCAGACCCAGTGCATTTCCCTTGAGTCTTCTCCATGACATTATTAATAATAAAAATGTCTTTTCCACTGGATGGCTCCTGCCATCTCTCTCTTTCCACTACTGCAGCAGTTGGCAATTGCATTTCCTTTAGGTAAAAGCTGTCCCCACAATATCTGCTTTTCTATTATACTAGTAATTGAACAGCAATCTGTCACTCATACCAAAGGAGATAGAAAAAAGTGGTGAATGACATGTCATGTCATTTTAGGCCAGCAAATGTAAATTATTTTGAGCCACATCAAAAGACAAATGGCAACATCTGTTTCTTTTCCCTAGCATGGCAGTCAGTGGAAAAAAAGCAGAGTTTGAGAATTACAGAAGCACCGTACAAACAAAATAAGCACATCAGACTCTAAAATACCCACTTCTGGACATATAGTTTGCCTTCCCTTGTCAACCTGACTACTGCCTGGTCAGCACCTGCTCTCTCCTCTTGGCCCTTTTCTTTGGGATCAGTAAGAAAATCCCACACCCCTCTCAATGATACATATCCTCATTTATGTTTGGTAGAAAACAGGCTAAACAGTGATCAATCAGCATGCTCAGTAAGCTGGCAGAGCAAGAGGCACTTCTAACTCCACTAGAAAACCAGATACTCCGGAAGTGCCTGCTCACTTTATGGTAAGGAGAGGTATTTAGCACACACATTCACAAACCAGCTACAGTAGCAGCCCCAAAATTAAGCAGATGAAATGATAAATAAAAAGCTGGAAGTCAGATGGGAAAGGGTTGGGACAGGATCCCTATGAAAGGCCGGAGAACAAATTCTTAACAGCAGCGCCAGAGTAGGTTTTAGTATTCTTCCCATTTTCAATGCAAAAGCCTGGAGGCACATGGCTTTTACATCTCTCACTGTTCTTGTGACAAACATGGCAAGTAAAAAATATTAATAGCCTGCTGGCCTCTTGGCTCTTCCCATTTCAGAGCTGAGTAAGTGCCAGGTTTGCTCACACACCTACTCCTCTTCAGCAGTACCTTTCTTGACAGTCAGTGATGTACCTAGAGCTGAGGCTAAAGTCAGTGTCTCAAAAGCTGGCGCAAAAAAGACATTTTCCTGAAGAAAACTGAATTTAAGATAACGTATTTATAGCTAAAGGAAGAAATTCTGCATAGCCAGTATAAACCAGACTACTTCTACCTCTCCAAGTTAGATATTAATGATAATAAAATTGTTTTTACTACTGAGAAAGTATACTGTACTTACATCATCCACAGTGTGTCGATGAAGTAAAGTTCCTTCAAACAACCTTCTTTTTTGGGAGTAGAAATAAAAGAGATGAGGGCCATCACCTCAAGCTCACATCTTGTTTGCCACTCTCATATATCTGTACAAGTGTCACATGTCCAAGCATGGGGTTTGATCCTTTTATATTCCCATATAAAATTTACCATGCGAATCTGGGTGCATCCTTTGGTCCTCCAGTGTCCCGGTTTGAGCCAGGATAGAACCAATTTTCTTTCTAGCAATTTTACTTTTCAGTTAAGTCTCTTCCAAGTAACTGCACTTGCTGAAACTAATGGCATGTTTTCCAGTCAGTGTCTAGAACTCTTAGCACTCGACATTTATAATTACTGCTGGATTACGTTATGCACAGCCAAGACCACTGCTTGGTTCTGCTAAACACCTTATGCTCCAGAAACAAAAGGGAGGAAAGGGGTCACACCTACGACCCACAGTCACCAAAACTGACCAAAGTATTCCAATCCCATACACATTATACTCAGTATGAATCTGAGGGATCATGAGGGTGAAGTTCTCTTTGTCTCTTTGTCTGTGGCTGGTGTCCTGAGAGGACTCCATCTATTCATCTGCCTTTGATCCCGATCCATGTGTTCCTGAATCCATGTGTGCCTGCATCCAGCTCCTGTCTGCTGCTGACAGTCTAGGACTTTCCCAGGGCCTGCCCTGCAGCCCTGGTGGGGAGTCAGCATTATTCAGGGCAGGGAGAGTGATAGTGGCTTTGTATATATTTGTATGTACATCATTATTT